TGGACTTGTGGGTTTGGGCAGCATTGGGTTGGGATGTTTTCGTGATGCACATTTTCTTTGCATAAAACTCTCTCTTATACGTGAGTTGCTGTGGATTTGTTTCTCCAAAGTACCTAGACTAATACAATATGGCTAAAGCGTTGTGGTAAAAGTGTCAAATTAACAAGGGGTGGCCTGTGGCAGTTACATAATTTGAGACTATTCTACCTTACATATCCAGCTAAGCCAGAGGATGTACACTGACACAGCTAGGAACTGGAAATACAGGGAACCCAGGACAGATGAACCCCTCAGGACCAGTGGAGAGAATGACGATATCAGGAGGGTGGAGGGAAGGTGAGGGAGAAAGGGGGAACAGATGACAAGGTCTACATATGGCCTCCTCCCTGGGGGACGGACAGCAGAGAAGTGGGTGAGGGAGACGTTGGATGGAGTAAGATATGATAAAATAATAATAATTTATAAATTATCAAGGGGGAGGGGGGAACATAGAGGGAGGGGGGAAATGAGGAGCTGACACCGAGGGCTCAAGTAGAAAGCAAGTGTTGTGAGAATGATGAAATCAACATATGTACTAATGTGCTGGACACAAATGATGTGTGTATGGATTGTGAAGAGTTGTATGAGCCCCTAAAAAAAATGATTATATATTAAAAAAAGAGCTGGAAACACAGGGATTCCAGGACAAATAAACCCCTCGGGACCAATAATGAGAGTAGCCATACCAGGAGGGTAAGGGTAAGGTGGGGAGAAAAACGGGGAGTGGATCACAAGGATCTACATATAACCCCCTCCCATGGGGATGGACAACAGAAAAGTGGGTGAAGGGAGACATCGGTCAGTGTAAGACATGAAAAAATAATGATAATTTATAAATTATCAAGAGTTCATGGGGGTGGGGGCGGTGGGAAGAGGGAAAAAATGAGAAGCTGATAGCAAGGGCTCAAATAGAACTAAAATGTTTTGAAAATTATTATGGCAACAAATATACAAATGTCCTTGGCACAATGGATGGATGTATGGATTGTGATAAGAAAGTTGTACGAACCCCTAATAAAATGATTTTTAAAAAAAAGAATGAAGGGGTAGAGTTTAGCCTATCAATCAAGTTGCAGCTTGATAACCTCATTTGGAGGCACTAAGGCAATAAATAGCTTACTGGAGGTGGGACACATGCTCACCACCTGTGAGACGTTCCTGCTGACAAGACACATGGAGCTGTTTCCACTGCCACTGGATCCGTAAGACTTTCCACCCACTGGCCTGTGATCTGCCTGCATCTGGCATCATTGCATGTGTTGCATGAGTCTGAAGAGGAATTCATAGATTGGTATCAGATATATGGGCTAATATTGGACTTATGGAGTTGATCTGTACTGTGCTGGGAAGTTTTCTCAATATACAATTGCTCTTCTATATAAAACTCTTTCCTATACATATATGAGTGTCTCTGAATTTGTTTCTCTAATCAACTCAGACTAACCCAACCATCAGTACATATAAAAGCAGCTATTTTGAGAATACTATTAAATCCTAATGCAGGTTCTATTTTAGTGATGTTCACCGGATATGATTTTGAAATTTCAGAATAACATAAATGCAATAAAATCCAATAATTTTGATTATCAATTATTGTTCTGAGATATAATATAAAAATGAAACTAACATCCTAATAACAAGAAGCCAACCTTATCAAAAATAGGCAATGAACTTGATCTGGCATTGCAGTAGAAAGGACCTCCAAATGGCAAATAAGCACAGGAGAAGAAGCTCAACATTATTAACCATTAAAATTCTGGAAATCAGGCCAAAGTGAGTTATCACATCACCCTATGAGAACTATTAGAATACTCGTGATCATAAACACTTTAAAGAAAAAGAAGCAAAACAGCAAATTAAGTCCAGGTTACAGACAAGTGCACCCTCCTCCATCGCTGGAGGGAATACGCAATGGTGCAGGCCCTGGGGAAAGGAGTTTGATGGGTCCCCTAAGGACACAGAATGACCATAGGAGCCAGTGATCAAAGTTAAAAGGACAGTCTCCATATGATTTCAAGTAAGTTAAAAAATACATAACAAGGAAAGATTATTCAAAGTTGCAAGGGTAGGTACATGCAATAATGGCAAGTTTGGGGGGGGGAAGGTCACTCGATTTGGTTGGATGTTAGAAAGGATTTAGGAATAATGGTGGCACATGGGATATAGAATCAAGGTCACTGAGTTGTCAACGTGGAAGTTGTGTTGGCAGATGTTTTGTTGCGTAGGATTTCATACAGAATACACAATACGGAAAAGAGAAATGAAATCTGTATCCTTTATGGGCAGACGTTTATACATTTGCATTTCCATTAAATAGCACAGCCAATACGTATTTTTCATTCTTAGGTCTGTTGTTCCCAGCAAGATGTACATTTATTTTGTTGATATTTGTTACGTCAAGTTTTTTAGACAGCTGTCATCCATCTGCTCTTAGTAATTTCTTGGACTTTGAAAATGTGTTACCTAGAATTCTCCATGGCCATTTAAGGTGAAGAAACACCCTTGTTTGGTGATTCTCATTCCCAGAACTATTAGGAAAATGAGTACATATTCTTTGAAGAACTTTGTGCCATTTGTGTGCATGCCCAGACATTATTTAGGACCGGTTTTATTGTCTCACTGAGCCTTTTGTAGCAACACACAAGATAGATTACAAAACCGTCAACATATCTCTGTAGGCAGCAACAATATAACACTCAGAAAAATACCTCTAAAGACCTGGCATTTATACCCCTAATATTTTTCAGAAAACCATGGAAAGGAGAATCATTTTCTCAATGGACAAATTATTCCTTTATTAACATTTATATCTCAATGTCAATTGAGGGATTAATTGAACTAAAAACACTGATTGAGTTTTATCCAGTAAGCAGGTGCTACTCGAATGTCTTAGTTTTCTAGGGCTACTGCATCACAAAGATCACAAGTGAGTGGATTTGAAAATCAGAATTTTACTTTCTCAAAGTTATCCAGGTTAAAATTCAAAATCAAGGCTGTGGTGAAGTCAGCCCCTTCATTGCAAGCCCGGGAAATCTTTGCATCTTTGGCTCATATCTGCTTTACCGTGTGTGTGTGTGTGTGTGTGTGTGTGTGTGTGTCTATTCTGATATCTTTGTAACCCTGAAGTGACTTGGCCTACGATCCATTCTGCTCCTTTCTAGGCTCATTGACGTCATACAGGGAAAACCCTCTTTTCAAACAGGGTTCAGGAACAGGTACAAGGCTCAGGGATTCAGCATATCTCTTGCAAAGTTCAATTTCATGATTCAGTGGAATTGATCAGGGAAAAAACACTGAATGATTTAAGTTTTCAGGGACTTCAGTTTTAAGAGAGAGGGAGAGTAAATATATTTCTTTCTATTCATTAAAATTATACTAAAGACAATTAAAAAGTATACTAAACATTAAATTATACTTCATTGAAATGCTCTAAACAAATAAAAGAATGGATGCATAGCAACAAACCAAAGAAGAATAACTTTGGGGGGCGGGTAAGAGATTTCTAAGCAAATGTACTGAAGTTGAAAATAAGATAGAGAGTGTCAGGTGGGATAAGAGCTGGACGAAGCTGTGCCTCATAGATGCACAAAGCACAATGCACCTGCAGAGAGGCCAGTGCAGAGGCTGCAGAGCCCCAGGGTTCTGAGGACAAGAACTCTGGGGGAGATAGTCACTCAGTGTGTCAGTCCAAGCATGCATTTCCACACCCAAACACAGAACTTAGGACAGCAGATGGTTATCCAGCTATCAGTGTTTAAAGAGTGGGTGACAGTTAAATTTTATGAGAACTTGA